CCTATGGATTCAGGCGGCGCATGCGCGCAGGACTTCCCGCGACGCATGCGCAGCACGTGTCAGCCCCCATCTCTACTGCGCATGCGGAGAGCGCGGTCGCCGTGGCAACGGGGACGCGATGTCGGACATCCTGTGCGAGTGGCTCAACCGGGAGGTGATGCTGTCCCGGCCCGTGGGTGAGCGCGCGGCGCCAGCGGGGCGTGGGCCTGGGTCCCTGCTGCTCCCTGCGGCGGGGGACGGGAGCCGCGTGGGGCCGCGGGGCAGGGCGGCAGCGGGGTGCTTCGCCCCGGCGGGGCTCGGGGCTTTTTCTCTCAACTGTTTCGTTTGGAGCCCGACGGAAATCGCTGCCGGGCTGGTATTGAGCTGAATTAGAAGTGGAGTAAATCAGACATTGCTCTGAACGGGTTTCTGTGTAGAGACGGGAACCGCAGGGCTGGGGTCACCTAGTCTGACCCCTGCCTGAGGCAGGATGGGCCCCATCCAAACCGCCCCGTGCAGCCAGCGTCTAAACCAGCAGCTCCCAAACTCAGATTGCACACCGTCTGTTTACAAAGATACAGCCTGAAGGACCACCCGCTAATTTCCACTGGCACTTTTTTTAGTTCCACCTTAAGGGCCACCAGCTCATTTTTGGCATACAAAGTCATTATAAAACATCTGTTGGCGCATACTACTGGCAGGTTGTCTGTGTCCAACTGGTGGTAGGCATACCACAGATTGGCAACCGCTGGTCTAAAAGTGCCCAAACACAGAGCGAACCCCTGAGCTGCCACAGGTAAAGCAGGGTGGGGCAGGGCAGCCAGTATCCTGCTTCTGTGAAATGTTGTCTATATCTGCTCAAGAGATGCTGGGTAGAGGGCCCAGTGCCTGCTACAGAGGAAGCAAAACCCCCACAGTCGGTACCAACCTGACCCTGTGGTACAAGGCCTTCCTGGCCCCAAATATGGCGACCCTAAGTGGAGCAGCAAGACCTTCCAGCAGGTTCTGGTCCCAGTGGGAGTGCTGGTGCACCCCAGTCAGAGCCTCTGAAGAAAGCTGCTGTTTGAAGACAAATTTATATTATTAAAGTTACTTTAAGACATTCATTTCTTTATCAGAAATGTATCTGATACACTCGAGGTTTTACAAGAGTGATAACGAATGGTATTACAATTAAGTTTTAGTCTCTAATGTGATACAGATACTGTAACATTTTATAATATGCTTCATTATTGATGTGACGCTTTGTATGTTGTTACCACTGCTTGTTTCATTAACTCAGATCCAAACACATTACCAAAAGAATTTTCTACTGGGTACCTCATTGGAGAACTTCTTCACAAATATGAGCTTCAGGATGACTTTAACCAGTTTTCACAAAGCAGGTTAGTAAATTTAAGGCATAAGTAGTACACATATTTCCCATATAAATTATACAAGATTTTTGTTTTAGTAATAAAGATTTCTTAGTACAGAATAAGTAATTCATCCAGTCCCTAGTACATGCATGTAGGCAGCTTTTTGCAATGAATTTCTCCCTTTAAAATATAAGGAAACATAGGACTAAAAATCCAGATTGTCCAATGAGGTACTTAAATGGAGATTATGTGAAATTTAGGATCTAGACACTAATACTGGTATAAACTGCTTTTACACCAGGGTAGATATGGAGTGGACATTCTGTGTATAGCTTTAGACCAGTAAAAGCCAGTTTTGGATAAAGTTACCCCTTAAGAAGTCATGAGCACCCCAGCATGAGGATTAATAATGTGAATTCATGTAATTAATGTGTCCTCAGCCCAAATCAGTTTCATCCTAGGGTGAACTAGGCTGTCGCCTACAAAAGCTGATACCCCTCTGACCCGGTCTCTCCCTTTTGCCTGATTTCAGATTAACAGAACTTCAGACTGATACAGAGAAAGGGAGTTGGCAGTCTGGCTCCTAAGTGGGTGGGGGACCTAATGTGAAGCCAGAGACAGATGCTTTAACTCCAGAGCAGGGTGGAAATTCAGATGCACCTTTGTGTCTACTGTTACCTACTGGCTAGCTTTAGATGGTTCCTCACTCAGCATCTGAGTTTGCAAGTTGCTCTTTGAAGATACCCAACCCTCTCTAGTTACTGTATAAACACCTGTGGAGTTTTTTTTTTAATTTCTCCATAAGGCATTAGGCATTACAGCACCTAAGTGAAAGTGCCTGAGGATCATTTCCCTATAGTATGTAGTAGTATGCAGAGCACTATATAGAAATGAGGCGGAAGGTAGGACAGGGTAGCAATGTAGAGACTAATTGATTCAGAAAGGCATGAGCTTTTTTAGGTGACAAACTACTTAATCAGATGCTATGAACATGAGCGTCTGACAAAATAGGCTGTTGCTTGCAAAAGCTTATGCCTTTTGAAACCAGTTTGTCACTACAATGCTACTCTGCCCTTCCTTCTGCTCTCTGTCAGACTGACACAGCTAACTACCTCTCTCTCTACATAACAGAAGCAAATTACTATACTGTATATTATATGTTTTTTTTAATTATTTAGGGTTGCAAATGCTAAACTTAACAATTTCTCTCGCTTGGAACCAACACTTCAACTCCTTGGTGTGCAGTTTGACCAGAATGTAGCCCAGAGCATCATGACGGAACAGCCTGGGGCTGCAACCAAACTTTTGTATCAAATGTATATTGCTCTAGAAAAAAAGAAAAAGGCAGGGCTTACTGGAGTAGCCATGGAAACCATGAGACCTGCAGCACCTGCAAAGCTCAAGTACATTGAGAGTACTTTGTATCGAGAGGTAGGTGAATTAAATGTGCTTGACATACATATCACTAGATATTCGATAGAGTAAAATGCAGTACCCTTACCTGTACATCTTGGATCACAAAAACTATGCAGATCCACTTACTGGAAACCTTTCTTCAACACAGGATGTCCAATTTCTGAAAGGCCAAAGGTTGTGTGCCACAAGCACAACCCCTCTGACACATGGCTGGCTGGCTTCCCCACCCCTTACCACACTGCACTGCACAGCAGGCAATCCTTCGCTACACTTCACAGGTGCTTCCATCCTGCACAGTTGCTCCAGGCCCCCTGATTCTCCCAGGCTGTGGGGCTCCATTGGCTCTTCAGACTGTCCTGCCCCACTCTCAGGGGGGAGCAGGAAGTAGAAGCTGGAGAAGGGAGGGGGAGCCTGGAGACCCTGATTGCAGCAGCATGAGTGATGGGAGGAGTAGCCTCTGGACCAGGAAGCTGGGGACTATAAGTATACTCCTAGCAGGCTGGATGCTTCCTCTGGACCACCAGCTGGACACCTCTGGTTCAACATATATTACGTATGTGAAAAAATATACTGTATTTTCTCACATACAGCATACACTTTTCCCTCCCCAAAAATCAGCCGCTGGAAATTACAGTATGCATTATATGCAAGAAATATGGTAAGAGCAGTTTTTGGTGGTTACGGGCAAAAGGGAAAGTAAAACCTATGCAAGACTCAACAGCAGCTCAGTGAGTGGGCTTGTCTCCCTAGCTGCTGCTATTTGGCTACATACTACACAAAAAGATTTTTTTCCTTCATTCTGCCTTTCAAAAACAAGATGTGGATTTTATTTTGGGGTGTGTTGTATGCCATAAAATACAATATTTCTTTGGCCTGGTGTCTCCAAGATATACACCTGGTTTTCCCTGTACTTTGTTGATTCACAGAAATGTCACTCCACTTTCACTTTCTTTAACCAGCTCTTTCCTTAGCTGCACCCTTCTGATTTTCTCCTGCTTTGAAGTACAGAACAGTGCAGGCTAATCATTTTGGAGCAATTCCTTCTTACTCTTTTTCAGCAGCCTCTCTTGTAAACTGTAGCACCGTGGAAAAGTAAGTAAGCTAATTTTGAATGAGTTGATTCTTGGAAGGGTAAATCATTGCTCATAATATTCCCTACTCTTGTAACTGGAGTACTTCCAATACTTGAATGAGCTTGTCACTTGAATATCTTTACATTATATTCCTGACTGAAGTGTAGACCTATCACAAAATTAAGCAAAAAACAGAAGACTGAAAGTGAGTCATAGTGGAGAAACATTTTTTAACTTCATTGGCAGTACTCACACTCCTTTATCAGGATGAGCAACTTCAAATAAATTATATACTGTGAATCAAGTTCACCCAGACGTATGCCCTTTGCTGGCATGAACCTTGCCATAAACCCACAGTGGTAGGAAGTTCACCAATGAGAATGGGAGCAGCACCAAGCAGCCATCATACCCATTCATCAAGAATGTTGTGTTGGTGGCACAAACCAGGAGGTGCAGTTAGGCCACAGTGAGTAGCCCCTGCCAGCTAATCGAGCACATGTTCAAAGAAACATTTTCTGTCCTGGTTTTCAACAGTCTTCACCAGTTTCTGTGAACCTGGCCCTTTCTTTTAAAATATTCCACTGTGCCTTGATGTTCTTCTGTGTATATCAGTACATGTGAAATGCCTATTTAAATATCATTTTCTGAAATGCTTCTTTAGAACAGTTTTGGGTTCTGGCAATAGCTTAAATGGTTAATAAAATGTTTGTGTTACTGCTTCTTACTCTTGGATATTTTGAACGTTATTGCATTTTAGCGTTTGAAGAACTTAACACCACGGCAGACTGACTTGAGACTACAGCAGGTTTCAGAACATTTTGAAATGAAATCTAAGAACATGGAAGCTAAAATAACTCGTGTACACATTGTAGAACAACAAAAAGTTCAAAAACTCCAGGAGGAACAAAGAGTGCAAGACCTTGAAAAGGTAAGAAGCCAAATGATTTTTTTTCATACCAGGTCTGCAGTTCTTTAGATGCATTTTCTTAAGGTTAAGCATGTGATCAGTTCTATTTAAAATTATTCATTGGCCTTATGTTACTCCTATGCAGTCTCATGTTTATAAAAAAGCATAAAAATCAGTAATGCTAGTGATGGATATTAAAATATTATTAAGAAACCCAGGCCTGGAAATTCTGTGGAGTAAGCAGCAGTAGTATTGAGTCCTATGGCATCCAGAGTCACTGTGTCATCAGGATCGGTGGCTGTGGGAGTTAACGCCATTATTACTTGTCCCGCTGTAGAATTCCCATGTTGGGATCCCTGTTGGGAATGCCTTTTGGTTTCAACCTGGTGAGCAGTGGCAGTGTTAACTCATGGGAGCTGGTTGCTCCCAACACTGCATTTCCAAGTTGAGATCCCTGTTGTGGATGCCTTTCTGCAGCAGGGCAAGAAGGGAGTGGTAGTGTAGTCAGCATGTGAGAGTTAACACCGCTGCCACTTGCCCTGCACCTGGATGAATGTTGTGTGGTCAGCAAAAAGCTCTGCGGTCAGGTTAGGGCTTGTAAATCTAAATGAGTTAGACAGCCCTGATGTAACCAATAGACTTTTTTTATAAGACACTTAAAACATTAGTATTTAGAAAGTGTATATTTAAATAACAGGATAATTCACAGTGTGCACATATTGTCGAACTTCAAATGGATTATTAGGAAAGATGACCAAAGGCAAATATTGCAGCTTCACACACCTTGTGATATTTCAACATGAAATGCAACATTGCTTGCGTGACAGAACAGGCTAAGTGGGCTAAGTTCTTGCAGTTCCAATGGGGAACACTTGGGGGGGAGGCGGGGAGGAGGGCTCAGAGTTAATAGGCTATGCTGCAAAGAGTTTCAGAAGCAAGATACCTATATACATACCCTTTTCACCCCATGGCGAAATGGCAGTCTGGGCCTAGCAAGCAGGGCCCAGAGACTGCTCCTTAATTGGAACCAATTAAGAGCGCTAAGTGGGGGTTGCCTGTACTCCCTACCTCTCTCAGAGCCTCACTCTTTCTCCTCTGGCCCAGTCAGCTCCCACTTGCAACAAAAAAGTTACAAAACTATAGTAACCTGGAGGACCACATTCACGCAATATAATTAAACATTACATCTCGGAAAAACCAAGCACTAAGTGAAATTGCGGTAAGCGAAATCCATTCACCCATAGAAATGAATGTAACTATAGGTAATTAATTAGTTACCATGACTTCTTGTCACCACTTCTTGCCACGACTGTCTTTCCCCATTAGCCCGCTAGCCACTCCAAGTCCCACGTGCCAGCCCGGGCCTGCATTCCTGCTGCCTCACCCTGTGCCCCTGCCGGCCCTGGCCCTGGGCACCAATGCAGACCCTGTGCTGATGCCCGTCCCCCAACTCACCACTTCTCACCGCCACTGCCTCTCCCCACCCAGCTGCTCACCGGCCCCATGTGTCAGCCTGGGCGCCGGCACTCCTGCTGCTTTGCTCTGGGCATGGGCCCCTGGCCCTGCACTCCTGCTGCCCCACCCTGGGTGCAGGCCCCTGCTGGCTCTGGCCCTGGGCACCGGCCCCACACTCCTCCCCATCTCCGCTGCTTCGGCTGGTGAACTCAGGCAGTGGAGCATTCCACAGGAGCGGGGTGGATGTTTGCAGTGGCTGGGAGCAGGGGGGTTTGCAGTGTCCCCACTATATGCCTGGCCAGCTGTAAACCCCACCCTGCTCCCGGCCAGCTGGAAAATCGCCCCCCCTTCCATGGGACACTACTGCCCCACCAGTCTGTATTCAGCAGCCTTGCCTGGCTTCTCCCCGCCCCCCATTCACTGCCACTCGCTGCACTTGCTGCTGCCACCGCCACCACTGCTTCTCCTCGCCTTCCTGCCAAAACTTGCTGATTCCACTATAGAAAAACTCATTGAGCGCTGAGTGAAACCAGGCATCAATTTTAAATGAGTGTTATAGCGAAATAGCTCTAATCGCAACCACGTTAAGTGGGGGATGCCTGTATGGAAAAAGTAGTCCCAGAAAGGACAGAAAGGAAGGTCCCAGGGCAGACAAGGAGAAAGTCCCAGTGAAGACAAAGAGGGGTCCAAGGAAGGACAGAGAGAACTGAAATCGCACAAGAAAGACTGTTTGTGTTGAAGCAGTCTGCTGTGCTATTTGGGGACATTGGCATTCTGATACTCCTTTCTGAAAGATGAAAACATCCCCCATGTTCCACAAGTTGACCAAAAAGAAAAAGTTCTTGGAGGTGGGAATGCTACAAGTCACCAGGCAAGTCAGGGACTGAGAAGAGCTAGGGTCTCAAAACCAGAGGCATGCACTTTGAGAAGTTTAGCTGTGTGGTTAGCACATTTTGCAATTTACCTCTTAACCCAAGTGTTATTCCATATCAGTTGTATAGTCTTATGGTCTTAAAATTTTGACTCATTTTTCAGACTGATTCTTGTTTCACAGAGCATTGTCTAATTATTCATATTCCTGCCTTTGCTTTCTATTGTAATTTCCAGCATTAGCCTAATTCTTATTTCACCTAAATCTTTAGCTTCACTAAAATCTGTATTCTGTGCACAGATTATGATGTAAGCAAATAACATGAAAAGTCTTACTGAGCCTGTAAGCAGGGGTATATCCAGGATGGTGTGTGGTTGTGCCACCTTTTTGCCACTGTCAGTATCCACAGTGTAGCTTGGTAATCTGCACAGCCATTCCCTGCAGCTGGAGCCCTCAGGCTGGCAGGGGATACAGGGGACTGGGCAGAAAGTAGGCACAGGCTGGTGGGATCCATCCACTGCTGCTGCTGTCCCTGGCTGACCCAGGCATGAGGTGAGCCCCAGAGTTACTCCTGCCTCACTTCCACGATAGAAAGTGACTTTGAAAGGTGTCAGGCTTGGCTATGGGCAGGTTTCCTCTTTCTGTGTCTGCTCTGTGCTGCTCCCCCAACCCCATGTCCTCTGTTGATTGGGAGCAGGTGCTACTGGAGGAGGAACCTGTTTGCTGCTGCCATCCCTGTCCCCAGATGACGCAGGCAGGGGAGGAAGCCCCAGAGCCTCTCCTGCCTTGCTCCAGCTGAGTGCTGCAGGGACTGGCTGCATGGGTTGTCAGACACAGCTGGGGATGGTGGCAGTACTTCTAGCACCTGTTCCTAGTCAGCAGGGGACACAGGGAGCAGGAGAGAGGCAGGTGCAGGAAAGAAGAACCTACCCATCACCTCTGTTGTCCCCAGCTGAAGACAGCACCCTGGCCATCCGGTGAGAGGAATTTCCCCTGCCGCCAGGTCAGCAAGAGACAGTGGCAGCAGGAGACAGGTCCCCCCTTCCTGTGCCTGCTCCCTGCCGTGGTTCCCTTGTATCCCGTGCTGTACAATTGCCCCTTGCCCCTATCCCCCAACCACCGTCTGAGGGGCAGTGTGCCTCACCCCCCGTTCTGAATTCTAGATCTGCCAGTGCCTCTAAGTATAAGACAAATAAGGAAAGAAAGAAAGAAGTACTTTATGTATCTAAAAATAAAAACAACATTTTAAAACCTTAAAATAAAAGACACTGCTATTATGTTTGACACTTCATTTCTTTTTTTCTTTTTTTTTAGTTCTCTTTGACTATCAAGTGGAAAGTGGCTATTTTCCACCCTACTTCAATGTTACCTATGTATGCTTCATCTAATACAGTCCACTTGACTTTGTCTGTTTAGTCTCACTTCCTAACCTGAGCAGTTTCAGCAGTTTCCCAGTTCATATTTACATTTGTACAAAAAGGACTGGAGAATTGGGGCTTTATTGCATTTGAAGTACTACTGGGAAATGTCAGATGGAACAGTTGTAGTTTCTAGAGAAGAAAAGGTTGTTTTAGAAGAGAATAGGAGGCCCTTCTGTGCACTGTTGCTTATGAACTCTGAGTAGCACTTCAGTGTCAGTGGGGGACCTCATTCTTAATTTCTCATTTTATTAATTGTTGAATCAGAAGCATTAATCTGAGATTCAGCTTTTATGGTTTTAGTCAGTTTAAAACTAAATGCTTTCTGAGAGAGAGAATGAAGGATTGTTAAATTTGGAAAAGTAGAAGTGAAACAAAACTGTAAGAAACAGAAGACAACATGGGAAGGATGATGAAAGTTAATGCCAGATTCTGTCAAGGATGAATGAAAGAATTCTATTTTTAAATATGAACCCATCAGTAAATGTTGATAATAATGTTAAAATGATTATGTTTCAAAACTTAATTATTAGAAAATCCTGCATTTACTGCATCAGTAGCTATCCTTTGTGCAAAAACATTGCTATTTTCTGTAATAGAGTTCAGTAAAAAAAGAAAAAAAAGCAGTGAGACGCACACACCTAAATTATACTTTCCCCTTTGTGGTCTTACAAGACAAGAAAAGTCCAGAGAGCAGCATGTCCCTGAAGGGAAGTGCAGGGTTGGTAGCAGTGACAGCTTCTGAAAATGCATATATGCATGGGGTTGACATGAGATGGTGACCTGACCTCTACATATCAGCAAAGATGACCAGCCAGTTTAAGTGTTGGCTGCAACTTGGCAAGATATAACAAGGACAAATTCCTTGTGAACTCCTCTGTCTTGGTGTTATGCCCCAGAAGGCATTGTGAATTGAGAACATTCAGTTATTGCTGCTGAAAAGTATGCCTCCCTCTAAATCTGGAAAGCTTAACTGCATCCATAGTTTGCTTGTACGTTGCCAGAATTCTTGAGAAGTCAGAATGTGTTACCTTTTTTAAAGCAATTTAAACTTTAGCTTAGAGCCCCTATTTTTGTACAAAATAAAAAATTGCTTTCTATACATGTTAGGTATACACAAAAAAGAACTGAAAATACGATCACTAACATAAGACTTTCTTGTAGGCAAGATAGAGACATCCTCTGTACATTTTTTTTTTTTCATCCTCTGCTTTTTAAAATGAATTGTTTAAGCAAGATTTTTTAGCATTACACTCAACAGTGGAACATTTGTTTTAATATATTTTCTTTTTATGAAAGTATTTCTCTATTGATAAGGGTTTTTGGTTGTAGCTGTGTTGGTTTAAGGACATAGACAGGCAATCTTCTTTGGGTAGGTGTGATATTGTTTATTAGACCAACAGAGTAGTTAGAAAAAAGTTCTTTGCAAGCTTTTGGACACAAGCACCCTTCTTCAGGCATAGGGAGTCTCTACTGTTTTGAGATTGTGCATGTGGTGCCCCCTGTGCCCCGCTCCCCCAACCCCAAGCAGCCCCTTGCAAGCTGGAACACTGCCAGCCTGCAAGGGGAAACCCAGATCACTGCACAATGCTGTGAATCTGGAACAAATGCTGTCCTAGAGTCATGCAGCCTGGGACTGGGACTTCTTGATCCCATTCTAGGACTATCCTGCCCAATTAGGTATGGGTGGTCACCCTAGGCTCTACACTGAGGGCCTGTGACAGGGCGGGGCCTGGGGTGCCATGTCCTCCCCTCGCGCCCCCGCCAGATCAGGTTTCCTGCACCCTCACTCACTTGCCCGCCATGTCTTTGATGTTTGGTTCATTGAAGGGAGGCTGCCTTTCTCCCTCCCTGGCACGGTGCCTCTGATGCCCATGCTTCTCACGCCTATGCCCCCACCGGGCCCTCACTCACACTTCTTGCGCCCGCTCTTACTGGCGCTCCTCACGCCCACTGGGCCTCTCCCCTGTGCTCGCGTAGCCCGCACTGGGGTCTCTTCCCTGTGCCTGCATAGCCTGCACTGGGGTCCTACCCGCACTTCTCACGCCCACTGCAGCGCCCTCCCTGGCGCTTGGAGCACCCCCACCTTACTGGGGCTCCTATTGAGGCCTCCTCCACCCCTACAGCCTTGCCTGATCCTCCGGTGACACCGTGCTTCTCGTGCCACAACAACTAAAACCATAAACACAAACCCCTGGGCTATAACATAAATTCCTGGCCAACCTGGCTTGCTTCCATGTATCTCCCCATCAGGGTTTTCTCTAGCTCCTACCTCCTTGGCAGTCAGAGTGGGACTGGACTCTGGCCTCAGCCTATGCTGTTTATAAAGGCCGTGCCCTGCCCCCTTCCGGTCAGCTGACCAGACCGGTTGTCATGGCAACCTGCACCTGTGCTGCCCTGGTGATTGGCAGCTGAGCTCGTAACACTGCCTCCAGTAGTAGGCACCTTAGTGCCCTGCTACAGGGCCCTACCCATACCCTCATGGCCTCCAATCCACCCCTTTCAGCCACGTCTGTTCCTCTGGTATAAACAAAAACCAAAAACACGAGTGCCTACTCCAAAACAAAAGGCTTCCCTCCCAAGATTAATCTTGCCCTGCAGAAGCTCTACCCCAAAGCCCTGAGGCACTTTGCTGTTCCTGTTTGGGATTCAGGGTTTCTTTCAGCTCCGCTGCAGCTTAGAGTCCTTCCTCTGGGCCACTTGTCCTGGCTGTCTTCTGGAGTTCTGCCTCCTGTGGCTCCTACAGCCATACAGCTCTTTACAGGCTCAGGCCCTGTGATTATACCTCTCTTTCTGGGTCACCTGACCCTCAACTTCTGCCCCCAGGCCTATCAGTCACTGCTTGCATCTGGTATGGGTGGCCATTTTATTTTGGGGCTCTTTGCCTGCATTAGTCTGGCCGGGGGTTGGGGAAGACCAATTGCCTCTGGGCTTCCTCTCCTCTTTAGTATTACACATACATTCAATTCATAGAATCATAGAAATTAAGGACTGAAAGGGACCATGAAAGACCTTAACCCCAGTGCTCTTGCCTGCCTAGCGGAGGGGGTCAGACTCGATCTACAAGGTCCCTTCCGACCCTAGAAATCTATGAAATAGATCATCAAGTCCAACCCCCTGCTCTGATCAGGAATACTGCAGAGATCAAATGGTTCCAGCAAGGTGTCTGTCCAGTTTCCTCTTGAAGACTTCCAAGGTTGGGCTGTACCACCTCCGTGGGAAATCTGTTCCAGATTCTGGTCACCCTTACCATAAAGAAGTTCTTCCTTACATCTAACCTGAAACCATCCTCTAACAGTTTATGACCATTGCTCCTTCTCCTGCCCTGGGGTGCCCCAGTGAACAGTTTTTCTCCCAGGTCCTCATATTCATGCCTTACATACTTATAGACAGCCACCAAGTCCCCCCTCAGTCTTCTCTTCCCCAGGCTGAACAGTCCCAGATCTCTTAGTTTTTCCTCATAGGATTTAATTGAACATCTTTGTGTTTAGCAACGCATGGAAAGGAGGAGACAAAATGAAATAATGGCCAGAATTCAAGCAGCTATTATACAGATTCCAAAGCCACCACCAAACCGTACCCTGAAAGCTATTGAAGCCCGAAAAATATTAAAAAAGAAAAAAGAAGCAGAGGTAAGTGTTGGCTTTATTATTTAGTGCACTGAATTGTAACTGCCAAGCAACTTGGGATAGAAATCCACAGTTGGATATAATGTGCACACATAAAGTCACTGACTGATTGCAATAAAGTTACGCTAGCAACAAACAGAACTAATGCAGTGGTGAATCAGGCCAAATATCAAGGATTAATTTAGGACCTGGTTCTGCATTTTTAATTTAAGGAACAGTCCCACTGCCATCAATGGAAGTTCTTTTTAAATAAAAAGTGTGTGGTCATGTACTAACTTAATCCTTGTTTTAGGATGTAGTCTAATTGCACTAAATGCAGAGGACATTTAATGAAAGTTGAATCAAACCCTTAATTTTTCCCTGCAATTTGTGGCTGTTGTACTTGTGCCTGGTACTGTATCCTATAAAAGCTTATCTTTTACTAGCCAATTGCCCATCAAGAATGACAGGGGGAGGAGGGGTGAGGATGGAGCACTGTGCCTTCCTCCCCCCTTATGGGCCCGCTCCCCACTTCCCTCCTGCTGCTTGGGGTCTGGGCCCGCTCCCTGCTGCAGCAGCAGGGGGAGGGGAGGAGCGGGCCCAGGCCCAATGCAGGGGAGCACCAGGCCCGAGGGTGGGGAGAAGCCAGGTCACCATGGCAGGGAGCAAGCAGTAGGTCTAGGCTGACTTGGCGGCAGCCGGAGAATGGGAGGTGCGGGCTCAGGGCTGATACGGGGAAGTGGAGGGTGCGGGGAAGTGGGCCTGGGCCTGAGGTGGGGAGGAGGCGCACTCCTCCCCTCCCCCTGCTGCTGCCGCATCAGGCCAGACCGGACCAGGCCAGGCCCACTGCTCCTCCACCCACTGCCATGGTGAGCCAGCTTCTCCCCCTGCTCGGGCTCATTCCTTCCGCCCCTCACCCTGCATCAGACCCAAGCCTTGCCTCCCTACCCACCGTGTGTCCCCGCCATCATGGAGGCTCACCGCCGCACTGCCACCTCCTCTCCGAATGCTTATTCGCACTACGATTGGATGTTTCATTCAGCCAGTCAGTGTGTGAATAAAGCGTTATGGACAGACAGACAGATTAAGGCTTTTATAATATTAGAATTATAGGAACTGTAGTAGGATTTAAAATTGACAATTGCCTTGAATCAAAACCAGGCAGAATGCAGAGCAGGGTGGCATGTTAGGGCATTTTCACATGTGTTTTGGGACACTGCACCAGGTGCCTTAATTAGTGAGCTGTGCTAATTAAAAATGCTCGTGTGTCATGTGTATTAGTGTCCTCTCACTGAAAAAATGGTGATGGGGCACTTTGAACTAAAGCTCATTGAACATGTTTTATTTCAAAATGCACTGTCACCATTTTTTCAGTGTGGGGACGCACGGGGACACTGATACATGTGACACAGAAGGCTGCCGGAGTGCATCAATTTCCATGCCCCAGCAGACTCAGTTAATCGAGTCTGCTCTGATGTGCTGGTGTATTGGAGCAGGCTCTCCTCATGTCTGTAGGAGCCCTTAGAGACTAACTGGTTCAGAGAAGCATGAGTTTTTAGAGGCAACAGCCCTTGTCAGATGCTTCCTCTGCCTGGCCTCAGATTAACACAGCTCTTCACCTCTGAAATCTAACCCACAAATGCTGGTATTTTTTGCTGCATTCTTTAGTTCTGCTCTACTGTCACATTAAAGCCCCCTGTTGCAGTGTGCTTCATGGTCAAGATCCTGGATCCTCACATCAACCTTCTGAGTTACAGCATTATCCCAGATCAAACAGAAGTTCATTGTTGGTTTCAGGGGAATCTAGCTGGGGCTGGGAGCCTGCAGCCAGGTTCCCATAGCAACGGTCACAGCTCTGTGCCAGTGCTCGCTGTATTCAGAATGGGAGGGGGACAGGCAGTGGAGGGAGCTCATTCTTGGGGCTCCCCACCCGGTGCTGAAGGGTACGGTGGGTGAACTGCCCCACCCCCATGTGGGTGGGGGGCTTCAATACACCTGCCCCACCCTCCAGCGGGGCTGAAAAACTACCAGACTGAACTTTCTCTGCTCCCTTTCTCCTCTCCCGTTCTGAAAACAGTGAAGCTCAGGGAGCTCTGCAGACACAAGTTATGAAAGATGCTACATTTTGAACTGTCTTTATATGATACCTCATGCAATGAGGGGTCAGATTTTCGCTCAGTCAGCCATTTTTTAAGCTGTTTCCAGCTGTGCACTTGTGTTTGGTCACAGGTATAAACTGCTGTATGTGGGCAGACTGGGAGAAAATTATCACTTTTGTTCGTACCCTTTATCTTCTGTTATCCCTGACCTAGCTGAGACAATATGATTTCAGCATCATGTCATCTAAAGTGACATTAAAATTTCTCTACATAATGTTTACAATGTAAGCACAAATTTATAATAGTTGTATCCATCTTTGCTTTTAGGAAAGATAATAACATTGAAATATTCATGCTAGTTTTCTTCTTTAGGATATGCACAAAGAGATTAAGAAGTTTGAGAAGGTTATGAGGAAAGGGAGTCCTGCACCTAGTAGAAGCCAAGTCTCAGACAGGTAATTCATAGACATTAGGGGCTGGAAGGGACCTTGCAAGATCGAGTCCAGCCTCCCTGCCGTAGGCAGAAAGTCTGCTAGGATCAAATGACCCCCGCAAGATAAGCATCCAAACACCATTTGAATGAGTCCAGACTAGGTGCTTTCACCACCTCTGGGGGGAATCTATTCCAGACCGTGGACACTTGGACCATAAAGAAGTTTTTCCTTATGTCCAGTCTAAATCGGCCTTCCAGAAGTTTGTGGTTGTTAGACCTTGTTATCCCTTGGAGAGCCCTGGTGAACAACTGTTCTCCCAGATCCTGGTGCACCCCTCCCCCCCACTTACGTACTTATAGGCTTATGTACTTATAGGCTGCCATCAAGTCCCTCTAAGCCTTCTCTTCTCCAGCCTGTCCTAGTAAGGCTTGCTCTCTTGGTCTTTGATCCTACGGGTGACTCTCCTTTGGACTCTCTCAAACTTATCCACATCCCTCCTGAAGTGGGGGGCCCAAAATTTGATCTACATCAATTGTGGGTCTGTTTCCCGCCCCCTGGATGCTTTGCATCCTATCTGACAGAGTGACCCCTTTGGACAGGTGGAAGACCAATGCAAAATATTTGTTTAGGAGACTCGCCTTTTCCTGAGCATCAGTTGTCAGCTGTCAGTGTTGCCTTTTTTTTTTCTCTGACTTCCCACATATCTGAAAAAGGACTTTTTGTTGTCATTGATTCCCATTGCTAGCCTGAGTTTGGTATCTGGCTTGGCTTTTCTGGTCTGCTCTCTGCAGGTGCGGGCTAGTGCTGTGTAGTTCTCCTTGTTGATGACTCCCATTTTCCATCTGGCATAGCTTGTCTTTTTACTTTCAGGAGGTCTAAAGGTTCCCTATTGAGCCAAGAGGGCACCCCAGCCCACTGACTGCGCTTTGCTTGGGAAGGGGTTGGACTTTTCTTGTGCTTCAAGGATTAAGTTCTTAAGGAACAACCATTCCTCATGGGTTCCCCTTTCTAAAGGCCAATGGTCTCTGAGTGCCTGGTTGACCAGTCTCCTGAGTTTTTGAAAGTTGGCCTTCCCAAAGTTGAGAATTTCTGTTTTACTGAGACACTTGCCCACCAAGCGTTGAACAAAAAAGTGATCAGTTCATGGTCATTGTCACCAGGTTTCCCCTCGACCCTCAGATCATTCACCAGATCATCCCCTTTGGCCAGAACCAGATCCAGCAGTGCCTTTCCCCTAGTTGGCCTGTAGACCTCTTGCGTTAGGTAGAGGTCATCAATGCATGGGAGGAAGCTATGCGACCAGTCAGATTTGGCTGTGTGCTCTTCCCACAAGATGTTGGGGAGCTTGAAGCCCCCCATGACAACAAGAAATCTGGAGCTTGGAGCCTCAGCCAGTTCCCTATTGAATTCTCGATCCAGCTCTTCCTTTTGGTTGGGAGGTTTCATAGATTTCATAGACATTTGGGCTGGAAGGGACCCCGGAGGATCATCGAGTCCAGCTCCCTGCTCAGAGGCAGGAAGTCAGCAGAGATCATAGGATCCCATCAAGATAAACATCCGAAAGTGTCTTGAAGGTGTTCAAAGTGGGTGCTTGAACCACCTCCGGTGGCAGTCTATTCCAGACCTTGGGGGCACAGACAGTAAAGAAGTTCTTCCGTATGTCCAGCTTGAAACAGTCACAGAGGAGTTTGTGACCATTTGATCTTGTCATCCCTTGGGGTGCACTGGTGACCAGATGTTCCCCCAGATCCTGGTGAACACCCCTAATAAACTTATAGGTGGCCACCAGATCAGCCCTGAGCCTGCGCTTTTCCAGCCCTGAGCCTGCGCTGTCATCATAAGGTCTGTTATCCTGACCTCTGATCATGCATGTGGCTCTCCTCTGCACTCTCTCAAGCTTCTCCACATCCCTTTTGAATTGTGGAGCCCAAAACTGTATTCAGTACTCCAGCTGCGGCCTCACCAAGGCCGAGTACAACGGGAGAATGACAGGATTTGCTTGAGAAGCATCTGGATGTAAGCCAGCGTTTTGCTCACTTTACTAGCCGCAGCATCACATTGAAGGCTCATGTTCATCTTGTGGTCAATCATAACACCCAAGTCCCTTTCATCTGTAGTGCTAACCAGCGTAGCACTGCCGAGCCTATAAGCATGCTGCAGGTTTTTCCTCCCAAGGTGGAGAACCTTGCATTTTTCGGCATTAAGCACCATTAGGTTCTCATCCGCCCATTTCATGAGCCTGTCAAGATCTGTCTGGATCACCCTCCTGTCCTCAGGTGTGGATGCTTTACCCCAGAGTTTGGTGTCATCGGCGAACTTGGCCAGCCCGCTTCTGACACCATGGCCTACATCACTGATGAAGATATTAAAAAGTAATGGTCCTAGGACAGAGCCCTGAGGGACCCCACTGATCACAGGGCACCACGACGTTTGACTTCTGTCAACCACCACCCTCTGGGTCCTGCCACGGAGCCAATTCCCTAGCCAGTGGATCATGGTGAGGTCAAGGCCACAGTTAGCCAGTTTTGCCAAGAGGCAATCATGGGATACCAGATCAAAGGCTTTTTTAAAGTCAGCATATATGACGTCAATCTTTTCCCCCTTGTCCAGGTGATAGGTCACCTGGTCGTTAAAGGAAATGAGACTGGTCAAGCAAGACCTACCTGCAACAAACCCATGCTGGGTATCCCTCAGGATATTGCCGTCAGCCAGCCTATATAGGTTTATAATAGACTCTTACAGTTATGTCCCCTTCCCCATGCTCCCCCCGTATTTTAACCCAGAGGGTCTTGAGATGCCCTCCATATTTGCTAAACTTGGTTTGAAGGGAATTGTATTGCTTCTTCACATAGATAGCTACACCTGCATCCCTCTTCCCAACACGGTCTCTCCTGTATAACCTTCTATACCTACAGACCAGTCGCAGGTGGAGTCCCACCAGGTCTCCATTATCCCTATGAGATCATAATCATTGTCATTCAGGAGTAGGGCCTGTTCCTCTTGCTTGTTCCCCAAACTCCTGGCATTTGTGTACAGGCAGCTGAGCCTGCCGTTGGAAGCCCTGGGCTTCCCTGTGCGCTGGGACATGACTTTTCCTTGGGCTGTGTTTGGAGTGGGTTCCCTTGGGCTATCTGGTCTGTTACTACTGTGACTGTTGTGACCTGTGCTAGAACTGTTAGTTGATAATTAATGCTTATACCAAGTTAACACTGATAAAACTGTAGTATTGTATTTACTTGAATATAAGACAAGGCCCTGCCCCGCATCAACGTGAGGGAAAGAAGCTCCTTGTCTTAGAATCACATAGAAGAAAAGCACATTAAATACATTGTCTGTTGTTAAACTGCATGTACTTTGTAATAAAAACAACTATAAGAAGTTTGTGGCCGGGTGGGGGTGAATAACAAAATCTCTCTCCCTGGGACTCACCTGCCATGCTTTGGAATGATAGAAGAATAAGAAGTTAATTCCCCAAAGAGAGAGAGTGTAGTAAATCACCCCAGAAGCAGGATAAAAGAAAATTGGTTTATTAGTAACTTCTCCACGGGTTGTGGAGCACCCTGGCTGTTCACACAGCTCGTGGTCTCCCTTTTCTCCACCACTGTGTGGTCCACTCTCCCAAGTCAGTCAGCTCCACTCCAGTCCCACTCTCTTTTCTCTTTCCTGCGGTACCAATGGGACCTTCTCTCAAACAGTAAGTTTCTCCTCTCTTCCTCACCTCCTTACTTCACCGGTCACTGTGGTTACCTATACCCAGGTGGCCGATCTTATCCACAAGCTGCTCCAGCTCTGGGTCTGCCGCTCCTGGCGCCCCTGCTGAATCTCTCCACACTGCGTCCCAGGTGGCAAAGGAAAACCCCTTGCTGTGGACTCAGGTAGCTGCTGGCTCCTAATCAGTTAATAGGGGTATAGGTTGTAGCTGTGTTGATCTAAGGACATAGGCAAACAAGGTTCTTTGAGTGAATCTGATATATTTTATTAGACCAACTTAAATAGTTGGAGAACAATTTTTAAGCAAGTTTTTGGGTTCAGAAACCCTTTGTCAGGCTCAGGAAGTTTCAGCAGTTGGTGTGTGCTCTTCCTGGATGGAATGGAAAGTAAAGAAGCCGGAGGCTGGTCTGGTATGCATACATCACCCTAAACACACGAAAAAAGCTTTACAGCCAAGCCCTCAGATACCACTGAATTTGCGCTAAAGAGAACACCTGGGATTGCCACCTCACCAATCTTAAAAAGGCTTCCACCCAACAAGGACACTCCTCTAGAGAGAGAGATCGCATGTTTGAAAAAGCCACCTGGATACCACGTGAAGAACTGCTGCAGTACAGAAGAAAACCCCCCACAAATGGAACACTGCTGTTTATGACATATCACCCCTCCCTCGAACCATACAGAAAATCCTCAAACAATTGCAACCCATACTAGAAAGAGACCCTATTCTTAAAGAGATCTTCCCAGGGCTACCCATCTTAGCTGTCAAACAAGCACCGAACCTTGCCATCCTCATCACCAGAAGCAAACTTCCTCAGACCCAAAACACACCAAATGGATCTAAACAATGCCATGACAAGAAATGCAAAACCTGTCAACACATCTCCACCACCCCCACACTCACTACACCCCACAACAGAGCCATCAGCATTCCTGGATCTTACAGCTGCACCTCCAGAAATGTAATATATCTCATCCAATGCACCAAATGCCCTGATGGAAAATACGTAGGAGAGACCAAACAACAACCGTGCGCCAGAATGAACATACACCAGAAATCTATTAAAGACAGGAATACCCAGTTACTGGTGGGGGCACATTTCTCACAGGAAAACCGCTCTCTTTCCAATCTCTCAGTCCTGATCCTCAAAGGAAACTTACAAAACACTTCCCAGAGACAAGCCTACGAACTCCACTTCATCAACCTCCTGGATGCTAAAAATCATATACTAAATATAGACATTGGACTTATGACACATTATAACCTGCCTGACCTCTGACTCCCCAGGTATTTCTCCTCTATTCATCCCCCTTCTCTCTCCCCCCAGCCCAGCCTCTCACCCATTGACTCCTCAGTCTACATCTTCACTGCCTGTCTTGCATGCAGACCAGCCCAGCCTCTGGCTGCTTTACTTTCCATTCCATCCAGGAAGAGCACACACCAACTGCTGAAACTTCCTGAGCCTGGCGAAGGGTTTTTGAACCCAAAAGCTTGCTTAAAAATTGTTCTCCGACTATTTAAGTTGATCTCATAAAAGATAGTCGGTTAATATTCACCCCAGGTGCGATCCCCTTCCCAACTGTGTTTATTAATTACTTAACTTTGCCCTGTCCCTGACCTGACTACTTGCAACTTAGTAACATCAAAGGAAGAGGGCTGTCTTTGCCCTGTTACAAAGTTGATTAAATGCAGCCAGCACTGAGGGTAACTGTAAAGTACATGGTCCATAATGTGCAAATATACTGATGGGAAACTTTATTTTCTTGTATGTGCGGCCCTTAAAAAATCAGGTGGGTGTTCCCTTCACAGGAAACCGTTATTGCGCCTGGAGGTACTGCAATACCAGGCCAGCACTGGAAGGACCAATGCCAGCCCTGACACTTTTTCCCCTTGATGCCAAAAATCCTGCATGTGATCTTAACCAAAAAGGCTGAGATGCTGATAGGAACCTACAACATTTTTTTTGTTTGTTTGTTTTTTCTGGAAAATTTTTTCATGTTCCAAGTCAAATAGGACAAATCAATTCCAAATCCATGAGTCATGTAAGAACTAAATATGGCCCTACTACCAGCACACATTCTCCACCTCTGCCTGGGGCTTCAGATGCTTCCATATCCTTTGGTAGGTATCCTACGTGCAGGCCCAAGCCGAAAAGCTTGGGGTTTGGATGCCCCCAAGTTTGGCTTGCTCTTAGCCAGATGGCCACAGGAGCGAGCTAGGGGGGGTCTCCCATTTCTATGAAGTCAGCGTGTGGCTGAGATCCTCCCACTGGAAGCTGGCCAGCAAGAAGCTAACTGTGGAGGCTCTCATGAGTCCTTTCTGCAAGCGGACACGGGTGCAACCCACCACTATACAGTGCCACTATACACTATACTGCATTACCTCAGTCATGGTATTTCCCCACAAGGAAAGACCAGTGCAGCCCATTTGAATAAGATATATATTAGTGCCCATTGTGCTCAGTCCCCTTCAGCAACAACTTTTTAAAGTCATGGTGAGTCTACATTGAATATTTTTCACTCCCACAGCTGATCTGTGCCTTTCTTTCCCATGTCCAATAATTCCTGTTTCTTCACCAGCTTTAAATATTTAACAAACACCACCAAATGGGACTCCAAATAGTTCACTGAGAATCCCTTTGTTGCCCCGTGTCTCAGCCTGTTGCATGTGATTAGTGTGGCCTTGCCCTCCACGAGGTGGAATCAGAACAAGCTGCCCTGCACCTCACTTGTGTATACATCTTGGGAGGATTCCAGGACTCATGGCAAGAATCCCCAGTTCCAATCACAAGTTGGGGGGCAATTAGCACATGAATGCTTTGTTGCGGTGGGAGTTGTATCTGGAGTACTCGTACAGTCTGAGCAGTGCTGAGCTGTGGGGTCACCATGGCTTGAAAAGCTGTTAATTTGCTGTGGCCTAGCTGATTTTGCCAACTGTTTAGCTGGTCTAATAAAAGATATCACATTTAACCAAAGAACCTTGTCTGCCTATGGCAAATCATGAGCCTTTTGACTTTGAACCAATTTAATGTAGTTTATATTTTCTATAAGTAGCTATGAAAGTATGTTTGGGGAGTATCTGTGCAAAAACTTGCATCAGATTAAAAAGCAAAGATAAAATGGATCAGTTCATCAGTCAGCATTTTCAGATTTGCTCCTCATTTCCATGTGCTCAGGGAGAGCAGGCTCTGACAGTTGGAGGGGGAGGCCGAAGTGGGGACTAGAGGTGCTGCAGGAGGAAGAAGTTGCAGAGGGGGAGGAGGGGAATATGTGCTAGGGGCCCACCTCCCCCTAGATTTATTTTTGGTGCTGTAGAAGTGGGAGAGGGACAAAATCAAGGCAAACCTGCAATAATGTGATTCTATGTCTGGAACATTTTTAACAAATTTATACGTTTTCCTTATATAGGATCTAATTCCTGGGATGTCATCTTATAATCAGGGTTGTCTTATAGTCAAGTAAATACAGTAATTGAAAAAACCCTTCACTAATACCAATGTATCATTAAACTATTCAGCCTCTGTAAAATCATTTTACATTTTTATATCAAAATATATTCATTTTACTGTTACTACTACTCTCTTTTAGTCGCTTACAATTTCTTAAATGTATTTCAATCTGCATCAGAGCTCGTTCCACTACAATCTAGACAGCTCTGTACGGTAACTTGGTCCATGCATTTTACAAGGCACAACCCTTTGATGAAAGGTTCCTCTTGAATGCAGTTTTGGTCAGGCTGTCTGGTAGTCATGGTCTCCTAGTATCTGCTTTCAGATATACAGATGCCTGCTTGCTAATCATCAAGGATCTGGTCTGTATAGATATCACACAGAAAAAATGGGAATGGTTACTTACCCCATAGAAACTATAGTTCTTAGAGATATGCTGCTTTCATGAATCTATCTTCTTCCCCAATATTGCAGAGGTCTTCAGAACTCTATATTGGTGAAGGAATTGAGGGACAGTTGAGCCCACTGAGTCCTTTTTCCCGTAGGTGGGAGGCACAAAGACCTTAAGAAGATGCGTGGGGTGCCACAGAATTCACTCTTGCAACCAGGGGAGTCATGGTCACCCACAGTGAAATAAATCTTGAAGAACAACAGTTATTGGAAAATAACTCTTTTTCTGATGTATATATTTTCTCAGTAATATACAAGAGTCATTGAAGACACTGGACTTAGACTCAGCAGCCCAGGATATCTCAGAACAGACAACTACTGAGCTATTAAATACCTATTCAGAGGATGAATATATCAGAAAAATTCAAAAACGTCTAGAGGAAGACACTTTTGCCCAAGAGCAACGAGAAAAACGACGACGAAAGATGTTAATGGAACAGCTAATAGCCCACGAAGCACAAGAGGTGAGATATGTGTGCTGATGTGCTATACCTTGTGTAGGGTTATTAATTTGAAATGGAAAAACAAAGCAAAACTTTGTGCATTAGTTGTGCCCCTAACAGCAGACTTTAGCTATCAGAATAGTTTCAGAACGGAAGGGAGATTTGAACTTCTTGCAGTTGATAAACTGGATAATATCATCCTCATCTCTCATTTCTTTTTATAAGATGGAAGTGTAGCCATTCTGATTGGCATATATTTTGCTTTTGAATGTATTGGTGGTGGGAACATCAAATGGGAAGTTGTTGATAGGCTGGAACTTCTTATATTCTTATCTCAGATGATACTACTATTTTTGGAAGGTTTAACAAAATCTGTTCACATTTTTTTTATTGTAAGAGTAGACACGGAAAAAGATTCCTTAAGAACTATCATAGCTCAATTGATGTCTATAAAGCTAAGATATTTTAAAGCAGGAATAGGTATAGTCCTTACTTTTCCCTTCAGAATAACAAGAAAAGTTGAACTGAAACTTCCAAAATGTATTCATTGCACAATCCTGTATAATGCATAAGATTAAGATTGTAAATTTGAACTTTAACTAGGTTATATATCACACATGTAATTATTTATTACTGGTTAGGCTTGTAAAATCTACAAGTGCTCAGTACTTTTAACATGTCAGAGTTAATATTGAATTTTATATTTCTCTACATCTAGTTTTTCAGTTTGTACTTTGATCTTGCAGTGTGTTTTATAGATTCTTAATGAATAGGTGTAATTTGTTGTAGGACTGGGGCACTAGCATTGTACCAATCTGCATTTTGTATAGGGCTTAAATAAACATATACATAGCTTTTAAACTAAGAGTTGAAAAGACATTTCTTTATTTAGGCTTTTACTCTGCAGATATTTACAGGATGAAATTTTAGCTTGGGTGCTGGGAGCATAACTTAGCCCACAGTACAGAAAGTGAAGTACATGTATAAATCTTTGAAGATGGTCTTTTGCTATTGAAGCTTGAGTTCTGTGTTCTGTTTTTCCCATTTCTTGCTGTTCTTCATAAAACAGCATGTAGTTGTTCTAGTCCCATTTAATTAAAAAAATCAGAATATGGTAATAAATGTAATGTTTATGGTAATAAATATAGAATTAATATATTACATCAGACACAGTTATGTGTTTGACCACTGGATGCCACTGTTGTCTCAGATGTAATTTGAAGTTTTTTTTATGCATTATCTCTCAAGTAATTACTATTACAAAGCTTTCTCATATTTAAGATCTGAATATATGTTTTCTATAGTGGTAGTAGGATGTTGTCAGTGCCTTTTCCCTACTACTTTACTTCTGGTAGGCTCAGTTGTTCTTGGTGTTTTGGGGCATTGTAACCAATAGATGTGCAATATAGCTGTTTGTGTATTTTTTTAAGAATAAGTTAAATAGACACTTGTATAGGATGGTTTAGACAGAGATGATCTTGCCTTTGGCATGGGTTTCATAGATTTCATAGACATTAGGGCTGGAAGGGACCTCGAAAGGTCATCAAGTCTAGCTCCTGGCCTCAGGGGCAGGAAGTCAACTAGGGTCAAAGGATCCCAGAAAGATAAGCGTCCAAATGTTTCTTGAAAGAGTCCAGAGCAGGTGCCTGCACCACCTCTGGAGGGAGTCTATTTCAGACACTGGGGGCTTGAACAGTAAAGAAGTTTTTCCTTATGTCCAGCTGAAAATGGTCTTGGAAGAGTTTGTGATGGTTGGTCCTTGTCATCCCTTGGGGCGCTCTGGTGAACAGGCATTCCCCCAGATCCTGATGCACACCCCATATGTCCTGATGCACACCCCTGGCTGCCACCCCTGAGCCTGAGGAGTCCCATGGCTCTCAGCCTCTCTTCATAAGGCCTATTCTCTTGCCCACCAATCATGTGCGTGGCTCTCCTCTGGACTCTCTCAAGCTTCTCCATATCCTTGAATTTTGGAGCCCAGAATTGGATGCGCTACTCCAGCTGCGGCCTCACCAAGGCCAAGTATAGCAAGATGATGACATCCTGAGATTTACTTGAGAAGCATCTGTAGATGCAAGCCAGAGTTTTGTTTGCTTTACCAGCTGCAACATTGAATTGGTGGCTTATGTTCATCTTGCGGTCAATCATGACCCCTAAGTCTCTTTTGGCCATGGTGCTAGCGAGCGTAGCACTGCAGAGCTTATAAGCGTGCTGCGGGGTATTTTTCCCCAAGGTGGAGTACCTTCCATTTTTTGGTATTGAACTTCATCAGGTTTATATCCAGTTTATATCAGGCCTATCCTCAGGTGTGGACACTGTACCCCAAAGTTTAGTGTCATCAGTGAACTTGGCCAGTCCACTTCTGATGCCAGTGTCCACATCGTACATAAAGACATTAAAGAGAACTGGTTCAAGGACAGAGCCTTGGGGAATGACATTGGCCATGGAGCACCACAGTAATTCACTGCCATCGACTACTACTCTCTGGGTCCCACCTTGGACCCAATTCTCCAGCCATCAGACTGTGATGTAGCTGAGGCCACAGTTGGTCAACTTTTCCATGAGGAGATCATGGGATACCAGATCAAAGGCTTTTTTAAAGTCCAGGTATAGGATGTCAATCATTTCTTCCTTGTCCAGGTGATGTGTCACTTGGTCATAGGAGGACATGAAATTGGTCAGGCAAGACCTACCCGCAACAAACCTGGGCTGGCTGTCCCTCAGAATGTTGCCATCAGCCAGCTTGTCAAGAATTGTCTCTCTGATACTTTTTTCCAGATTCTTACTGGAGATTGAGGTCAAACTGATTGGCCTGTAGTTCTCCGGATCTACTTTCCTCCACATTGGCCTTCTTCCAATCTTCAGCTACTTCACCTGAGTGGCACGAGTTTTCGAATATTTTTGCCAATGGTTGGGCTATGACACCTGCCAGCTCCTTAAGTACTCTGGGGTGCAATCTGTCAGGCCCTGCTGACTTGAAGGTGTCCAGCCTCTCAAGGTGTTCCTTTACAAGGCTTACACCAATGCTGGGTGTAGATTTGCCCTCACCCTGGCCATCCTGCATCATGCTAGACAAGGCGGTCCCTTTGGGCTGATGAAAAACCAACGTGAAGTACCCATTAAGTAGGTTGGCTTTTTCCTGGGTGTCAATTATCAGTTGTCCCATTTGGTTTAACAGGGGTCCAATGTTACCCTTGCTTTTCTTCTGACTCCCCACATATCTGAAAAAGGACTTTTTATTGTCCTTGATATGTGTAGCTAGATGAAATTCAGCTGCAGCCTTGGCTTTCCTGGTTCACTCCCTACAAGTCCAGACCAGTGCAGAATACACCTCCTTGGTGGTGATTTTAGTCTTCCATCCTTTATAAACCTCTCTTTTTAGGCATAGGAGGTCCACGAGTTCCCTGCTGAGCCAAGGAAGTTGCTGTGCCCTTTTGCTACCTTCCTCTGAGATGGGATGGACATCCCTTCTGCTGTCAGGATTGCTCCCTTAAGGAGCAACCACTCCTCTTGAACTCCTCTCCCTGTCAAGTCATGGCTCCTTAGTGCCTTGACAACAAGCCTCCTGAGCTTTTCAAAATCAGCTTTCCTAAAGTTGAGGACTTCTGCACTGCTGACTGACTTGTCAGCTTTGCAATGGATAGTAAAAGTGATCAGCTCGTGGTCACTGTCTCCCAGCTTTCCTGTGATTCTTAGGTTGCTGAATAGATCATCCCCTTTGGCCAGTACCAGGTCCAGCAACGCTTTACCTCTTGTTGGTCCATAGATTTCTTGAGTCAGGTAGAGCTTGTCCACGCATGTGAGGAAGCTTTGTGACCTTTCAGATTTGTCTGAGTACTCTTCCCATGAGATGTCTGGGTAGTTGAAGTCTCCCATGACAACCATGCACTGAGAGCATGCAGCCTCAGCCAGTTTCTTGGCAAACCTGGTCTAGCTCTTGTTGCTGGTTAGGAGGTCTATAGTAGACTCCTACCATTGTCCTGTGTGCCACGTTCCCCATGTATTTTAACACAGAGGGACTCCAGTCATCCTCCCTGAGTGCTAATGCCAACTTGCAGGGACGTGTAGTTTTCCTTAACAGAGAGCTACACCCCCACCCCTTTTATTCTCATGATCTCTCCTGTACAGAATATAGCCGTCTATACCTATGGCCCAGTCATAGGTGGAGTCCCACCAGGTTGGATTAGATGACCTTCTGAGGTCCCTAACAGACTGACTATTCTATGATTCTATGTTATCTTGTTAACTACCATAACATTTCCTTCTCTGAGGAGACTTGAATAGAAAGGTTCTTTTCATTAAATATTGTTGCACTTTTGTCCAGCTGCTGAATGACAACTTCCAGTTAAGATGCTCTGGTTTCATTTTTAAGGCAGGTTCTAAATATTTTCATCATCTTTCCTGGATAATTTCAGAATTAGAGTATTATTGAACTCGTGGCATTAGCTACAATAAGCCCATTGAAACTTCATTGGAAAATGCCCTTTTCAAAGACATGTTGCCCAGATTCCTGCATTCTTGGGTTAGAACTTGTCTAAATTTGAAAAAAACCCAAATCCCTCCTATTCCTATACAGCCAGCAGTTTTCAGTTTGGGATTGTAGAGAATGTGCCAGAAGAAAGATATCCAAAACTTCAGTTTGCCATCAGTTTGCCTTTTAGCTCTAATGGGCTAAGTACAGACAGTCAAAAAGCTCAAGGCTGAATTGATGTAGCTGTTGCAAGTTAGTCTAAACTGCACAGATTAAACTGAAACAGAAGTGAACAGACATTTATGTTTGATTCAGGAAGCGCAGTGGCTCAAGCCAGAAGCTGGGGGGCACTAAAGCACAGCTTTCTGGCATGTAGTCAGCATGGGCTGTGTGTTTGCTTCCTCTTCCTGCTGCCTCTGAGGTCTCTGGGATTTGCAGTCCACAATCACAGAAGCAGAACTCTGCAGGGTTGCTCATCACTTCCTTTTCCTGCTTCCAGGTGCCCCTAGGATTTGTAGTCCACAGTTACAGCCAGCAGTAACTTTCAGTAAGCCCAGGCTTACATGGGATGGAGAGCATTGTCAATGTAGTGCTGCTTTTTTTTTCCTCCTGCTTTAGTTTGGACAGTAATTTACCAAGCTGTGGCTGAATTATTTAGGAAAATTTTAGCCAAAAATGTCCTGTCATTTCCAAAAATAAGACTCAAGGAAAAATGCTTTGTTTTTCCTTGTTCAAAAAAATGGTAATAAGTTCTTTGCTAAAGTCTAGTACCCACATGCTTTAAAAAAAGAAACTTGAAAATTAACAATAAAAAATTTCTGCCTATTATTTATGTGAAAATCTGCCGGTTTGGCAAAGTTATACACTTTTTGAAAACTGCTATATAAGCTGTGAAGCTCTATTCTGTGTGTATTGAGCATAATGCTCCAACAATTCTGTCACAGTAGTCATGCTTCAGCCCTGGAGTGATTAGGACTTTTCCTGAAATTGCAGTTCTCAGTTGCTGTCCACTATGCTATGTCCAGGTGGGGCCCTGACTTTCCTGTGTTTTCAGTGTTCTTTCCCCAGTACCTCCTCTTCCCAACGTATTCTGACACCAGTGGGCCCAGAAGGGTTGGGAAAGAAAGCTGTTTGAATCAAAAACAAGGAGACAGAACCTAGATCTGGAAGCATATGTGGAGGGGAAGAAAATTAAGTTAGAAAATTAGAGAGGAACATGGCTAATAGGACTGAAAGCTACTGTGGGAGATCAGGATGGTGGTGGGGTGGGAACTGAGTCTGGCCATTGAGGGCTGAATATCTATATGTCTATAAATAATTATTTGAATTGCATGCAACTTTCTCTTTGGATATAGAATTTCTTTTTTAGGTAACGCTTAATAATTTTTCTTTAAAGTACCTCTGTTGAAAGGTGTTTAGAAACATTTAAAGCTTACTTATGCTGCTTTACAAGACCAAATTTACATTGCATTACTGATATCATCATTATAAATAGAAATGTGTGTGTGTGTGTTAAGTTATGTATCAAACATATATGCTTGATATTGAAAAAGACAGATGAATATTGTCATGCTATTTTGTACAGACTCTTTATATGAGAAAGTAATATGTATTCTGACACTAATCCTACCAACAAGTTAATCACTATTAGTTCAGCTTACAATGCTTTATCTCTTAGGAGGCTTACCGGGAGGAGCAGCTTATTAATAGATTAATGAGACAGTCCCAGCAAGAGCGGAGGATTGCTGTACAACTCATGCATGTTCGTCACGAAAAAGAAGTATTATGGCAGAACAGAATTTTCAGAGAGAAACAATATGAGGAAAGACGACTGAAAGAGTTCCAAGAAGCTCTTGACAGAGAGGCGGTAAAAAACTAATTATTTACTGATTTTTCTGTAGGACAGTCTGTCTTACTATCAGTAAGACATGTAATCATGTCTTACATGGGGAAGGCCTATGGTATATGTACTCAGTCAGTGCATCACCCACTCTGTCAAATGCACTTTTTCAGACATTAACACTTGTGATTTTCTAGGTTTGAAAATCCAGTGGTAAATATAGTGCCTTTAACTACAAAAATCCAAAATAAAGTCTGATTTAAGAAAAAGCATACTGGGCACATCTACATGTGCTATTAACATGCAGCAATAAACTCTGGTGCACATCATGTTGGAGTTTATTGCTCCTGGGCACTGTATTTACATGTGCGCCCAGGACCTCAACATGTCAAGCCAGGTTGGAGCAGCCCTGGCTGGCAGGGCGCCCAGTGGGTCAACCTGCCAGCCAGGGCTCCTTCTGTCCAGCTCAAATGCTATGCAGGGGCTGGCAAGTCGTGTCAGCTTCTACATGTGTAGTGCTGCAAAGTTAAAAAAAACTCTGTAGTGTTTGTATTTACAAGTACTACCCTGCTGCAGAGTTAAATTAGTTTTGTGCCACCTAATAGGGCCACACATGTAAATGCAAGGACTAAGTGCAGTTAGTCAAAAAGCCCAAGGCTGAACCAATTCAGTTCTTGCAGGTTTTTTTAAACTGCAGAGATTGAAATGATAAGCAAGTGAACTGATGTTCACTTTTCAAATAGGGAAGGCAGCCAGACCCCTGTGTTGGCCCATACTAATAGCTGGTGGGTGCTAGAGCACACCTCCCAGTCTACTGGCCACTGCAGAGAGCCTGAGCCCTCTGATTCCCCAAGCCATACCCCCTTCTCAGCCTCCCCACCAGCTAAGCAAGGGGTGAGGAGGGGAAAACCCACCCCTCCCACCCAGCACCAGACCCCCAGCTGGGAGCAGCTTGGGGGTGAAGGGGGGAGAGGAAGCTGGAAGTGGAAGCTTTACTCTGCCCTCACATCTCCCCCAGCTGAGAGCCACGATGGAATCGCCTAGCCCTTCTCAGCCTCCCAGCCCACTGAGGAAGTGGGGAAGGGAAGTCTGCATCTGGGCTTGGCTCTGCCCTCAGAGCTGGGAGCCAGGAGCCATGCCCCATCCTCAGCCTGGGGGTGGCTGAGGGGAGGGGGGTAAGGGAAGCCTGCAGCAGGGGGCTTGGCTCCACCTCCCAAAGCTGGGAGCGGGACTGGAACCCCTTAGCCATGGTCTCTTCTCAGCCTCCAGTCGACTGCGGGGTGTGGGTAAGGCCTCACTGGGGTTTGGCTCCGCCCCCCACAGCTAAAATCCAGGAGCCACGTCCACTCAGCCTCCAGGCTGGATGGTGGGGAAGCCTGCAGTAGGGCTTGGCTCCGCTCCCCCAGAGCTGGGAGCCACATCTCTGTTTCAGATGGCCTAAAAGTTGAGAAGGGGGCATGGCTAGGGGACTCCAGCCTCCCTCTTGGCTCTGGGGGGCTGAGCTAAGCCCCAGTACAGGCTTTCTCCTCCTCTCAGCCACCTGGGGGGCTGAGAAGGAGGCATGGCTCCCAGCTGGAGGCAGAGTCAACCCCCGCTGCAGACTCCCCCTACTCTCCCCAGGCCAGGAGCACCCGGCTGTGGGTCTGGTTCCCTCCTCCCCACTCCATCTGACTGGGGGTCTTGTCCTGGACCAGAGAGGTGGGTTTTTCTTCCCCAGCCCCTCCTCAGCCACCCAGAAGAGTGATAGTGCTCTGGCTAGGGAGCAGAGGACCAGGGCAGACCCTTTTTGTTGGAGCCGACAGTCTGGTCTGGAGTTACTAAAGCCGACATTCACCAAAAGAATTTAGAAATCCATGATTGAATGGATACAGTCAGAGGTCTACCTTCCACATCTTGCATCCTTGTAGACATAATACTTGCACTTAGGATATATTTTTCTACCAGCTGCCAGCCTTTCTTATTGCACACTTTTCCCCTAATTAAAAAGCAAATGAGCATAATTCTCCTAGGCCTGGTGAAACTGCTTATTCACCATCTGTGTTCTGATAAGACTATTTCCTGAAATGACAGTTCCTGGCCAGCAGGGGCCACTGTGTCACAGGGACTTGCTGACTCCACGGTCGCTTCTCCCTTCAGTTTTAGCTACAAAGGTCTGCTTTCTGTCTTCAGTTAGATTCTATGTAAGTTTTCAAAGGTCAGTCAGTCATTAACATTTTTATATTTAAAGGTCATCAGTATTTTTATATTAATTCTCTGAAGCTGATTAAGACCTCACTATTTATTTACCACACAGTGGGTGTCTTGCCATGCACCCATCAACGTGGCTGGAACTTCACCCAGTTTTCAACATGATTGTTTCTCATAAATATCAAAAATACTCTTTCCATGTTCTAAAGATAAATGTCCTATTTTCTCAGAAGTCACTAAACAAATTAATGTTCTACTTGGTGTGGATTAAATAAGTTTTTTCCTATATTGTATCCATTTTACAAAAAAGTGGGAACTTAGAACATGCAAAAATTGTATTCAGAACTGTAGCTATTGCTTGCTATATAAACAATGCTAAAACATATTTTCTATTCCTGTCTTCAGTTGAGCCAGTTCTTTTTTTTTCCCAAGGATTATGCAGATTTTAATCTTTTTTCCTTTTACAAAGTAAAAAGTTTGCTTTAAAAAAATTCTTAGGCTCTTGCAAAACAAGAAAAAATTGATTATGAGGAACAGATTCTCAAAGAAAAAGAACTTCACAGGAAAATTGCTGCTGAAAGAGTTGAGGCTCGTTATAAAAAGCATTATTCAATATGCCGGGAAGTCATCAACCAAATTATTGATTTGTCTGCCAAAACAGGAGAATATCGTTTGTTGACAAACAAGTAAGTATGTTTCAGAAATCAGAGAAAATAAATATATTAGAAACAAAAGAAATAAGAGAAAAACATTAATCAGGTACATTATGTTCCCTTTCAAATGACCTGCTTTGTAGTTGTGTTCCATAGGCCCCCTCTACACATTACAGGTATCTCGCATTTAACTGATGAATATGTACCTCTGTCTGAGAGTTCATTCTGATGCATAGTTGCTGTTTATTTTCACCCACATAGTTACCTTGAAGGCATCTGGTGCATTGGATCAGATGAATCACATTTTGGGAAAGGCATATATAAAATCCATAGATTCTCATGGTTTGTTGTGCAGGAGTGATTGTTGTAGCAATGGAGATGTGTTGATGGGCTAAGCATCTGTTATGTTAAGGCTGTGTCCCATTTGAGGTCTATTGAGCAGTGGAGAGTTTGCTTCTGATGATGAGTCAGGCAAGATTAGGGAGTTGTTTGAAAACCAAGAGCAGAGAGGCCCCTTGCATAATTCCTAGGCCATCTTGACCATACACTCTAACACTAACTTAACATGTTAGGGCTCCATGGTAGTTTTTCTCACCTGTTTTGCCTTCAGACGCATTCATGCTTCAGCTTCCACTCGCCTCAGTGTACCAGTTTCCCCTTGTTTTCAAGGAGTTGGTGGTTTTCAATTCTGGCCACATCAGATATTCACATCTCTCTCTCTCTCTCTCTCTCTCTCTCAGACAAATAAAAGTTCATAACAGAATACTTCCATGAAAAACTTTCATCCATCCTTGGTTATGTGCTTCTCCTTGATTGCAGACATTTCATACCAGCTCTCTGTTCCCATAGGATCACAGGTTTTCAGAATTGTGTACAGGTTATACCATTAGACTTCTCCATCTATGGTCTAAACCCACAATTCACAATCAGGGTGCTGGGGCACTCTGGGGTGCCTTGAGATCCTGTCAACAGTGCTGTGAGCACTGTTATGTGTGCAGATGTGATTCACAAGATAAACCAAGAGGTTTTAAATAGAAATCTGTAGTATTAAAAGCATTTTGACCTGCTGTGGTCTTTGCAACAGAAAAATGGCTCTATTTTTTCATAGTCAAAATGTGAGTGAGAGCTAAGTGCCTGGTTTTTCTGACAGTTGTCTTGAGTCTAAAAAGGTTGAGAACCACTGGTCTAAATAGTCTTTCAACCACACTTGGGACTAACAGTGTTCTATAAGGTAAAAGTGGGGAGCAGGGCTTTATGGGATATCAGCTGCTCTGCAATAACTGCCCATATGCAAGCTCTGGCCCTGTGATTAGTGGATGGTACCCTGTCTCTTTCAATGATAGCTAAGTTACCATCATGTGGTTTAGTTTCCGTTTATCAGTGGGCATAGGTGGAGGGCTAAATAAAGAAAAATACAAAAAAGCTGAAACTTGCCTTTGGACTTTTTCTAAACAAAACATTTCCTTTTTTTTTCCCCTCAAACTTGAAATGCCTGTTCATTTAGTCCTGCTGAGGAAATCCAGGGTCTTCTCCCAGCTCAGTCATGGCTGAGAGAAACTATGGCTGCGAGAACTTCCTTCAGACCTACCCTGGAAATATTCAAAAGGAGACTGGATGGTCACCCTGCTGGGGTCACTTGACCCCAGTTGTCTTTTCCTGCCTAGTGCAGGGGGACTGTACCCGATGATCTACAAGGTCTCTTCCAGCCC